AAAGATGTGTCTATAATGTCTCCGCAAGATGAACAGTGAAGACAGACAAGTTTACTCTGTTTGTATACTGCAATTTTCTTGTTTTACTAAGTACAACTGTATGCAGTCAAAACATAAACAAACAAAATGTAAACATAGCAGACGAAACTCTTACAGATTACAGCTTTCTCAGTAGGTATCACTACACTAAATCAAAGAATTATTTGAAAAGACGATATCGAATTCGTCACCGAATTCCCATGTTTTTTGGGACACCCTGTATAAGAATTAATAGCAAGAGCGCTTGAAATGTCGTCTTGATTTTTATTCAAAAAATTGTGACTGCTGCTGTTATGCTTCACCATTGGTCTGCACAAAAAGAAAGCTGCTGAGAAGTTCGAAGCTGCAAAGGGTAGAATATGATTAATGAAAATATATCCAAATATCATTGAACAGTCATAAGTTTTTTTGATAATTCTTAAGAAACTACTTTTATTTTTATTCAAGGTAAATTAATAGCCCTGAAATATGCAGGACAGCAATTGATATAGTGAACTCGTCTTTTCGCAGCATTTGATCTTCAAAATGATGGAATACGACATCATAAAAAAACTCTTGCTATTTATTCTTATATCTGGGATTCACAGAACCAGAATGCATTGTTTGACATATATCTAGTCTACTATATTAGGTTGCAAAGATATAGTACTTTGATTTTAGTACTCTGGATGATGACATTGAAAATGTTGGAGCTGTAAAATATAATGATATGGTGAGAAGATCATTATACCGTCATATTGAAGAAGGAACTCTAGGGTATGGTTCTATTCCCTCAGGGAATCCTCCAGAACTTTATCCAAGGTGTATTCCTAAGTGGAGTAGGTAGGTGCTCATTGAATATAACTCCCGCTGCCGTTTACCACGCGTTGTAATAAATTATGATTTTATGACGCGGAATTCCTTCTCTGAGATAAGAACATGGCTTTCCTCCAAATTTTCAGCCAATTTAGTCCAGCTTTTTGGCCAGCTATAGCAAACAAATATTCCCAAGTTGATTTGAGTCATTGGTTCTTAACTCAAATTTAATCCTTTAAGTATGAGTCTTAACAAAAATTATCTTTAGTAACAGATACACAAATTAATGCAGACCACATTTTAAAAGTACATCGTAAAGTACAACCATTTTACACATACACTGACACAAACAAAAAGACAATCCAAACATATCTAATGTTCTCCTTTAGACATCTAATGTTTTCCTTTAGACATGCTGGCATCACTGTCGTAAACAACTTGGAGGATTTGCTTGTAGACGATATTGGTTAGTTAATTAAACTTTATCAAATAAGAATCATAAAACAACTATGTTATTTTGTTGTTAAAAATGTCCTCTTCTCCTAAAACTCTTGTTTCTGAAGCGTGCACAAAATCATGAAGTGTTTCCTTGTAAAAATTCCATTTTAGAACAGTTCAGCACACACAACTGCATTTTGTAGCACTTTCCTAAAATGTTGCATTGAACAAATTATTTGGAAATAATTCCAAAGTGGAAGAAAATTACTTGTTTCCAAATCCGCAAAAACATGACAGGACTGGAAAGAAGCAGATTCCACTTAATATTTCAGACCTAGGAACTTTAGAATGGTGGATATTGTGATGAATGCTTGATCCTATCTTTTTCTTAATCTCAAGACTAACCTAATCTGTACTTGTATCCTAAAAAGTGTATAAAATTCAACAAATCAGAGTGGCGTATCAGAAGCCGGGAAATCTTAAAGGACTCACTAATTCTGAAAAAACTGGTTTTTGATTTTTAACCAAAAAAGAGCAAGAAATTAAAAGTGTCCACATTGGATATTCGGATTAAGCAGTCGGGATTTTAAGATATCCCATTCTAAAGTTCTCAGCTCAGGTTAAGTAATATGTTACCAGGCAAAATGTAATCCATGTTTAAATGCGAATAAGCATACTCGAAAAAGGCAAAAGGTTAACAAGGAAAAATGTTACTAAGCTAAGAAAAGTTAAATAGATGAATTTTTTTCTTTTTTTTCTCTAGAATATCCGAACCGTGGGAAGATCCTCCTCAGACGTGTCCGAGGTGTTGAAGATTGCTCTAGAAGATGTTTGTTAGGTTCACAATGTGATATGTTTACAGTGTTAGGGAATACATGCTTGTTCTACCCTCATCTTAGACTTAAGCACTTACCTTTCCATCAGGTTTATATTCTATATAATATATACTTGTACTGTATACTCATCTTAGACTTAAGCACTTACCTTTCCATCAGGTTTCTATTCATTTATATAATTGTATTGTATACTCATCTTAGACTCAAGCACTTACCTTTCCATCAGGTTTATATTCTATATAATATATATTTGTACTGTATACTCATCTTAGACTCAAGTACTTACCCTGCAAATTTATCTATAAAATATACTTGTAATCTAAACGTTTTTAACCCTAACCTGATGGTGGGGAGGGGGGGGGTCCGACACCCGGCTCATATGATAGCTTTTGGTGTTTCAAAAAATCAAAAATAGTGTATGACTTATATTAATCAAGCTACAGATCTAAAGTTCCTTTATTTGACAAGCCCTTGAAAAATGGATTTTTACGAAATGTTTTTTTTAACTTTTTAGAAAACATAACTTTTACCTTAACCATTTAAGGTCTATTTTTTTAATGAGCTGGACTAGTTTGACTAGAGACATATATCACCTCAAATGATAACTATTCATCACTCGTTAACTGGGAGGTTAAGGGAGGATAATTAAATTGAGGAAAAACCATTTATGCCAAGGGCCTCTTAAAAGGTCTAGGTGGCTTAAGGCTGAATGAGTTTCCCGCAATTCAATTATCCCCATGAAAACTCCCATGCAGGTAAAGTAGCAATGTATCGTTAAATCTCCTGTCCAACGAAGTAACTAACCCTTTGCGATTAAATAACAAGTCCTAATAACCATAGATTAATAAATAAAACGCTAATAACAGGGAGGATGTGTAATTAGCCTCTCTAGCAAGGATAGGAAAATATCCTCCCTAGGGAGGATAAGGAATTATCCTCCCTAAGTAATTAGTCCCTTTAGGGAGGATAAGTAATGAATCTCTTTAGGGAGGATAAGAAATTAGCCTCCCCAGGGAGGAAAAGTGAATATCCTCCATAGATGGATAAGTAATTATCCTCCCTAGTTCATGGAGGATAAGTAGTTGTCCTCCCTAGTTTCATGGAGGATAAGTAATTATCCTCCCTAGTTTCATGGAGGATAAGTAATTATCCTCCCTAGTTACATGGAGGATAAGTAATTATCCTCCCTAGTTTCAGGGAGGATGAGTAATTATCCTCCCTAGTTTCAGGGAGGATAAGTAATTATCCTCCCTTGTTTCATGGAGGATAAGTAATTATCCTCCCTAGTTTCATGGAGGATAAGTAATTATCCTCCCTAGCATGGAGGATAAGTAATTATCCTCCCTAGTTTCATGAAGGATAAGTAATTATCCTTCCTAGTTTCATGGAGGAAAAGTAATTATCCTCCCTAGTTTCAGGGAGGATAAGTAATTATCCTCCCTAGTTTCATGAAGGATAAGTAATTATCCTTCCTAGTTTCATGGAGGAAAAGTAATTATCCTCCCTAGTTTCAGGGAGGATAAGTAATTATCCTCCCTAGTTTCAGGGAGGATAAGTAATTATCCTCCCTAGTTCAGGGAGGATAAGTAATTATCCTCCGTCTAAAATTCAAGTTGCTAAACAAGTCACGGAAATTAAGGTCAGTGATTTCGCTGAACAGGAGATTAATTGATTTCCTTATTAGCTAGACAATCTTCAGCTATGATCAGGAAAAGGTTGGAAAAAAATCTGTTGTAGTACATCACGCTATTTAAGTGAAGGACTAAGTGTCAATAGTCAATAGTCGTGAGTACTGACCATTTGTTAAAAATTTTTGAAATTAATTTTACAAATTTTGCTAATTTTGCTATCAGGTGTTAAAGTTGAATGGATCTGCTCTAACTTATGTTCTGAATTGTGATGATACTCAAGCCAACTATTTACCGCCATTAACTAAATCCCCGAACTGGTCTCAAGATAATTATGATGGATCAAAACATCTTAGATATTTTGACAGAATTCTGCCAGGTATTTATGCAACATTTTGAAATATGGTAACAGTACTGCAGATATTTTGAAATATAGTAATATTTGGAAATATGGCAACAGTGCTGCAGATATTTTGAAAATGTTAACAGTACTGCAGATATTTTGAAATATGGTAACAGTTCTGCAGATATTTTGAAATATGTTAACAGTACTGCAGATATTTTGAAATATGGTAGCAGTACTGCAGATAATTTGAAATATGGTAGCAGTACTGCAGATATTTTGAAATATGGGAACAGTACCGCAGATATTTTGAAATATGGTAATAGTACTGCAGATATTTTGAAATATGGTAATAGTATTGCAGATATTTTGTAATACGGTAATAGTACTGCAGATATTTTGAAATATGGTAATAGTACTGCAGATATTTTGTAATATGGTAAAAGTACTGCAGATATTTTGAAATATGGTAACAGTACTGTAGATATTTTGAAATATGGTAACAGTACTGCAGATATTTTGAAATATGGTAACAGTACTGCAGATATTTTGAAATATGGTAACAGTACTGCACATATTTTGAAATATGGTAACAGTACTGTAGATATTTTGAAATATGGTAACAGTACTGCAGATATTTTGAAATATGGTAACAGTACCGCAGATATTTTGTTTGTATGATGCAGTTTATGCCATTAAAAACATTATTGTCAGCTGCAATTTTTGGACAACAGCAAAAAAATCTTTTTTTTCCGTTACTGTTTAGCAGAAATCATGTAAACATGATATTCTGTAAACTTGCAGTACATCGTCGTACAGTATTAATTATTAATGTTTGTAAACTTCTACATAAAAACCCATTATTCATTTGAACAGCGTTTTAAGTGAATACGTAGCATGATTAGCTTAAACCCTTTTTAACATGTACATTCAACTTATAAATATGTGCGGAAATAGCTTAACAACGTTATATCTATCTTCGCTAATCCCAAAAAAAGGCACATCTTAAATTTGCCTATTAACTATGCTGTAATAAGGGATGTAACCGTTTTTTTTTTAAACGATTGTATTGTCATGAAAACGACGACGAAAAATCGAAAACAAAACGACTGTTTTTGTAAACGATCGTTTTTTACTTATCATTGAGTAGTTTTTAAGAAAATATCAAGAAGTTTTAGCTCCCCCACAACTCTTTAAATTCATTTAAGACAATATTTAATAAAGTTGCAAGTAATTTTTTTTCCAAAAACGACAGTTTTTATAAAGTGCGTCATTCCGTTAATGATTGTTAACAACAACCCTTCTTTAACGATCATTAACAACGACCCTTTGTTAACGATTGTTAACATAATTGTCAATAAAATTTTTTTACAGAAAACTATAGTTTTTTTAAAAACAATTGTAAAAAAATTGGTCGCAAATCATTTTATAAAAACGATGGTTTCCAAAAATGATCTTATTCGTTTTCTAAAAATTCAAAAACAAAACTATCGTTTTTGAAAGCGACTGAAAAACGAAACAAAGAACAAACGTTTAACTATTGTTTTAAAAACAATTAACAACCCTAGCTGTAATACTTGACATGACTACCTTAATCATGTGATATAGATAACAAGGTTTGAATTGTAATTATGCCGATTAACTTTAACTTGTAACATATAAACCTGAAATAGAGTCAGTTAGAATCAGAACTCCACTTAGAGCAGTTTAACCCATCGAAATAAGTCGGGCTTAGATCGTACCTTGTTATAGGGTAAAGATCTATTAACGGCTTGTTAGATAGCCAATGCTTGTGTCCTTGTGTGACATTTAGAGCTTGATTAATAGCTTGTATGATAACTAATCTTGTGTCCTTATAGGGCAGGTAGAGCTCAATTAATAGTTTGTATAATAGCTATGCTTGTGTCCTTGTGGGGCATTTAGAGCTCGATTAATTGCGTGTATGATAGCAAAACTTGTGTCCTCGTGGGGCATTTAGAACTAGATTAATATCTTGTATGATAGCAACGCTTGTGTCCCGAGATGGAATTTAAAGAATTTGAGCCGCGGTTTAAATCTGCCAAAACCCGGTTTAAATTAAGCGCCAGCTTAAATCTTGAAACATTTGACACAATATTAAGTGGAGCCAACCATATTTAAGCTTGGCTTAAATTTAAACCGCCGCTCAAATTCTTTAAATTCGGCCACTGGTGTGGCAATCAAAGTAAGAGAAAAAGCATGGTTTATAGGAACACTTGTGTCCCTGTGTGGCATTTAGAGCTTGAGTGGTAGATAGATTGATAATCAATACTTGTGTCCTCATGTGGCATTTAGAGCCAGGTGGGTTGTGTTCTGGTTGAATTATATAGCCGTTCCAGGTTGTGCCTGGACGGGTACAGTTTGGGGGAAGAACTTTTAAGAGTACAGCATTTACTACATTATACTTATTAATACTTATTATAACCAAGAGTAAAGGTTTGGCTTCATTTTAAACCTCAACTTTTTACTGTTATCATAATTAAAGGAAAATCTGTGTTTAAAAGTTTGCTGCTCTTTTTAAAGTTGTCAAACTTTTTCTGTAAATATTTAGAAAGTAATAATGTTGTCTTTGTTCATTTATTCAAAAACAAAGTTACCTTTATTATTTTATAACTCGTTCCTTTTAAAAAGAAAACTTATTTTATTAACTCCAAAATTATTTAGCATGTCCCAAAGGATGGGAAGACTACATGGAAAAAAAATGTATCAGATATGATTCTACAGAAAAACAGAATAGAAGCGTTGCTCAAGAGGAATGCTTTAAGAGAGGATCTTCAAGCTTACTGATTATTGAGGATACAGACGAAGCAAGATTTAATGGAAATAAAGAACATTTCTGGACTGCTGGAAAAAGAGAAATGATAAATGGACAGGGCATAAAGAGCTTCTACTGGGAAACCTATCCTAGTTTCAATTCTCCCGTACTACCTTATACTCCTAGAGAGTTTCCATGGAACGAAAACGAGCCAAGTAACCAAATATCTGAAGATTGTGTTTACTTCAATACAGACAGGTGGGTTCATCTATAGCTGTTTTATATGTATTTTAATTCTAACTGTTTGTGTCTATGTCCTAAAGTGTATGAATGATCATATTTTAGGGATAGGATTAATGACAGACCTTGTGAAGACCCAATTTTTTTTACATGCGAAAAGAAAAGAGGTAAAATTTTATAAAACTTGACACTCAAATTTTCAATCTCTTGATATTTTAACATAAAATGAATCCCACATCACAAATTAACTTAAAAAGGTGGGGCATAACTCACATAAAATAAATTATGAATAAAATCAATTTGTTTTGATTTCTAAATGTCAGTTCATTTGTAATAATGCGGTCGAACAATAAAACCATGATGATTCGCAAATTTTTAGCAGAACAAAGACAAAGTATGAAGGAAACTTCCATTTTAAGATTCAACAACAAAAGAAAACTTATATAAACATTTGTAAACTTTGAAAAAATAGATTAATGAACTATATAAATCATACACACATTATAAAAAGTTAAGAACATCAATATTTAATTGGGTTTAAATGGGTTTTATTTCAATGTTCATAACTTTATGATGAGCTAAAGGAGCAAAAGGGTTAGAATACCGCTCAGCTATTTTCTAACTTTAGTGATAATTTGACCTACTTTAATTTTAGATTTGTTGGGACTTGGAGGTCAAGTTGATGGTCGCAGATCAGAATATGCAGCTCGTAATGCGTATACCAATTCTTCTTTTGTATTAAGCCTAACCTTAAATCTTCCAGATTTAGGTCTTACCTCTGAATATGTAAACACTTTTAAGCCGAAGGCATATCTAAAAGCCTGGATAAGGTTTGTACATGTTTGATTATTAAATGAGAACCATTTCTGATTCAATATTATTGTTTTCTGACAGATGTAAAACTATTTCATTGTTTCAATACAGGCATTGTTTGATTGACTCATGGTAATATTTATTAAGAATATAAATATTGCTCTTTATACTAGAGCTATCCATCGAATAATTTTTTGGGGGGTGGAAAAGGGTAGAAAGCCTTTTCCGGTGGAACTTTCAGCAGAATGTTTCCGGCTAAAATGATTTTTCTGGCTTTCCAGTACGAGTAAACCATTTTTTTCCAAGATACATGGATGACAAATTTATCATACATACATGTTATCAACAATATTTTCTTTCTTTGGATTTAAGTCTGAACCTTAGAACAGCCATAACTTGTAAGGGCAAAAACATGCAGTTAATTCTACGATTTTTTTAATCCATCTAAACAATAAAGGAATTGAGTCTATGCCACAAACTCTGATTTTCTAATCACTATGTCTTTGGAACCACATGTTTTAGATCTTAGATATTTCAAACTATGAATTCTGTTAGATCAAATAATCTGAGTTTGAAATATCAAAGGTTTACAACATCGGGTTCTAAAGATATTGAGGTTTAAATATTTGATTTTATTCCAAAGACTCAATTCCTTTGAAAAAAATTTATTTAAATTTTTACTGGAAGGGGGAAATTTTGGAAAACATTTCCTCCAGAAATTTCTTTCAAAGGAGTTTTTTTCTTCAGAATTTGCAGCTTCCAGCGGAAATTTCAGTGACCGAAAATCACCAGAATTCTGTTTTCCGGTAGTCAAAATTTCTGCGCAATAAAATTTCTGGCTGAAAATTGAAAACTCTGTTCTTAATGCCCAATTATGGTTAGAATCATGTAGAAGATTATCATGAAACCATTACATTATAAAATTAATAAAGAGTAAATAACATCATTAATTTAAGCCAATAACAATATCCTATTACTAAATAGTAAGTATTTTCACGTGAAAAGAAATATAGACAAATGGCAAATATGGCACAACTTAATGCCAGATATACCCCTAAAATGAATTACAAGGCCATTTTCAAAATACCTTGGTGCACCCTCACAATGCAAATCTGAATAAGAACACATTTTATTTTTATATTTTACAGGTTTGCATCCTCACAATTAGGTGATACAGTTGAGGATGCACTTTTAATAGTTGGAAAAGTTGGTAAAACAGAAAGCAGTTTAAAAATCAATCTTTCCCTCAAATCTGAGAGTCATCCTCTCGTAATTCCTATCTTAAACTTAACAACAAGTAATCTACCAATGCCTATATCCATCAAAGCTGAAACCAAGGAACGTGGTTTAATTCTGATATCACCGCTCGAGATTACAGTGGACCGTCCTGTCTATATTGGATGCTTCTTATTATTCAGCAGTTCTGATCTTATCCCAGAGCTTAGTCAAACTTCTTCTCCTCTTGACTGTTTAGTGCTCTGCAATAAACAATCCAAAAGATTTGTACTTTTACAAGAAACAGATTGCTACTGTCACTCAGATGATTCATATTATCAACTTTTTATGTCTGGTTCTCTAGTTCCATCTGCTCAATGCAATATAACTTGTGAATCTGATACAAATAGTTACTGTGGAGGTGTTCATAGACATTCTGTCTATTTGGCAAGTAAGTGCAGTTATTTACTAAAAAATGTGGATTGATATTGGTTTATTTAGTTTTCTGAAAATATGAGTGCCACAAGCTTCAGAAAAAGGCACTGAACTGAATGAAGTGCAATCTAATATGATTTGCCAATATAGTTCCCACAATTTACCAAAAAACATTAATTGGAGTTAATATTCTCTACTTTTTTATTAGTTTCAAAATTGTTGTATTTCAAGCCACAAAATATTTTCCTAAATCACTTTTCAAAATTCAAAATTTGTATAATATCTTGTTTATCACAATGCGTTCAGATTATAGTTTCCTGTAAAAACTCCTTTAAAGGGACCGTTCACTTATTTGGGTAATTTCAGGGTAAACTAAACAGCCTATTCGCTGATTTATGGTAATAGTCTTACTTTTCAAAGACAACTGCGGCCGGAGAAAAAGCCGATTTTTCGCTCAGAATTCGAGCGCAAAGAGACGGTCCTTCTCTATAGACACTATTTAATGTTTTTTCCATTATGTAGTGAATCAAAATAAATTTCGAATATAAAATTAAACTGTAGTATCTAATCGTTAACTGTTAATGTCATTATTTTTTTATTTTTTTGTTTTTTAACTTTCTATTTCTAAAATAGCACTATTTAATCGCATTTAAAATTGTGTATTGCCTGTGTAAAAAGCTGAATTGAATGCGGCATGAAAAATGAAAAGTTGTGCATATACGGGAACAAAATCTACAAAATCTACGAACCAAAATACGCATAATGATTAATTGATTGTCGTAGAAACGTCGTCTTTGTATACACATTTTACATGTTTTAATACGAAAAACGTAAATTTCTTGCTAACTCAAATATATAAAGTTTTCATATTTTAGTACATAATAACGAACACATAATGAATTAAAATATAATAGATTTAAATGTTATTGGGCTGCTGTTACTGAAAAAAGCATCAAATAGTGTCTATAGAGAGGGACCATCCCTTTGCGCTCGAATTCTAAACGAAAATGGGCTTTTTTTCCGGCCACAGTTGTCTTTGGAAAGTAAGACTATTACCAATCAAGAGCAAATAGGCTGTTTAGTTTAACCTGAAATTACCCAAATAAGTGAACGGTCCCTTTAATAAAATTTGGACTTCAAGATTATCTTTTATCATTTATAAAATAAAACTTACTTAAATTGTTATTTTAAACAAAATTTGAAACTCTCTCAGGAACCTTACAGCATTTAATATCTGTAATACAATCTGCTTTATAGAATGTGAGGAAGGATTTGAAAGATATGGTTCAAGCTGCTATAAGAACAGAGATGTTGACTGGTTTTGGCATCACGAGGCAAAATGCAACCAGCAAGGGGCTTCATTATGGGCTCCTAGAAAAGTTGGAGATATGGAAATGATACAAGATATTTTCAAGTAAGAAATGATTATTCATTTACATATACATTTACTTCCTATTTCTTCATGTTGAAGCCTATCAAACCAAGCATAATTAATGAAATATACTCCCATTGTTTTTATGTGTAAGGTAATATCAATTTTCAGTAATAGTCTTTTCTTCCTTTATTATAAAACTTTTTATTAAAAGCTGAGCCTAAGCCTAACATCATTATCTGTATTTATTGTTAAAAGATAATCAAGAATAATTTATTTCAATACATTATATTGTCATTGTTCATTATGTATAATGTAATATCAATTTTCAGTAATAGTCTTTCTCTTATGATAAATGCTCATAGTTATTAATCAATAGAAAAACCTTTAACAAAACTTTTCTTTGAAGCTAACATCATTATCTTTATTAATAGTTCTAAGATAATCAAGCATAATCTATTTGATTATATTGTAATTGTAAATTATGTAAAATGGAATATCAATTTTCAGTAATGGTCTTTATTATTAAAGATCATAGTTATTAATCAAAGGCGAAACCTTTTACAGCCTAAGGGCAACACTTTTTTATTTAGTTATTATCATGATGATAATTAAACACAATCTTATTGTAACATAATCTGCTGATTATGTTCTATAAGTTATACATTTTCAATATTGGTATTTCAAGCAGTCAATGTATCATCTGGTGATATGGAAGTTTATGTGGACCAGCTACAGTCCGTGTGGAAGTACTTCTTCCCTGGTTGAAAGATGATATCTCCTCTTCTGGATCTTCAAAACTCAGGAATCCTAGTCCAGATATGGCCCTAGAGGATATATTGGAGTTTAGGCAACTGCTCAGGTAAACCATATACTCCAGAACAATGTAATGAAGTATTGGAGCAATTAGATGAAGATGAGGCAGCTGCTCAGATAAACCCAGACTGTGAACATCCAAATGAGATATTTGAGTTCAGAGTTCCTGACCCAGAACAGATAGATGAAGCTAAGGCAGCTACTCAGATAAACTCGGACTTGGAGCATCCAGATGAGATAGCTGAATCCTAAATTCACAAACCAGGGCAACTGGATGAGGGGTTTGAACCTAGAGGAGCTGCTTGTAGGAATCCAGACCAAGAGCAGCTGAGTAATGGTCTTGACAAAAGAGAAGCTTTTAGGACTGTTTATCAACAGTACCTGAGGACTAGACGGAGTGCTACTGTACTTGAAAAAGATTAGTTGAAGATTATTCGGGGATCAAAGTTAGGCCTAGTAGAGACACATCACAAGCCCAGAAAGAATTGAATGTACTCAGGCCCATCCTGGATAGACAGAGAACTAGTATGCTCTCTATAGCTGAACGATGGTTCTCTCAACCTTCAGAAGGACCTAAATAGAACAGGATGATAATTATGATGATAACCATGAAGATCACCATAATGATGACCATAATGACGACCATGATGACATCCATGATGACGACCATAAGGATGGAAATGATGATTACAAAGCGCAATAGAAGAAGACACTCAGACAGATATGAAGGGTATCTGAAGGAACTTATTAAACCTGAATAAAGGAATAGATTTATTTAATAAATAAAATATGAAACTGATTAATCCCAATTGATTTATACTCTGAGAGACAGGGACAGTAAGGGTAGATAAAGGGATTGTTATTAAAATAAAGGTATGGGGATTTAGAGTGAAATATTTACATAAGCCCTACAACCATGGGTGCAATTTACATCTGGCTTGTTATACGAGAAACCAATAACTGGAACAAAAGCCAGATGAAAATCCTAAGGAGCTTTGAGATACATCAATTTCTCCCATGGTTTGGGGCCTATATGCAAATATTTCACTATAGATCCCCATACTCTTGTTTTAGTATCAATCCCTTTATTAACCTCTTGAACATATCTCTCAGAGTATCTATGAATTGGGATTGATCAGTTTCATAGTTTATTTATTAAATACAACTGTAACGTTTATTCATGTTTAATAAGTTCCTTTAGATATTCAATTGCTACAGTTCAGGATCTGACCGAGTAGCTTCTTCCATTACTCATTGTTATCCTGGTTGTTATCATCATTGTAATCATCATTGTTATTAGCATTGTATCATCATTGTCATCATTATTGTTATCATCATTATTATCTTCATTGTTATCATCATTGTTGTCATTATTGTTATCATCATGGTTATCATTATTGTTGTCATCATTGTTATCCTCAATGTTATCCTCATTGTTATCTACAATAGATCTTTTAAGAGCTGTTCCACAATGAGTGGCATCTCCATTCTCAGAATCCTCTATTTCCGGGGTTCTGCTAGTGGTTCCACAACATTAGCGGATACGATTAGTTAACTTCATATCTTACTGATACAGTATCTACTAAGACAAGAAATAGGAATCTACAAGAGTAAAGAAGAAAAATAAAAAGAAGGAAATTTAACAAAGAGCCAATATGTAAATGTCTAATTCTAATCCAGCTTCACACCCACTCACCTTAGTGATAGGAGGCCTTTCAGGAAGAGTCCTGTTCTGCAGCTGATTAAAAGACACACTCCCCAAGTTTTTAAGGGATGGGTCAGCATGCTTAGAGGGTTATTTATTTTGACAAGTTCTATGCAAAAAAATTGCAAAAATTTCTTTGCAAAACTTGTGCAATTCGTGTCATAGGCTTTCCTAAAATCTAAAAATTATCAAACCCTAAAAAACAGAAAGTGATTCAAATAAAAGATTAGTTTGTTACAGGAAAAAGTATTCATACAGGTAGTGTGCTTGAGGACTCAGGCAGTTAGTATAAAAGCCGGTTTTAGACCTAAGAGGAGGGCTAGGTGTAAATACAACTAAGGGGGGGGGGGGTCAGGGGGTCAAATTGACCCCTCGACCCCAGCAGGAATAGGGTTAAGGCTAGGATGTCTTTTAAATTTCTTTCTAAATTACTGCATACACTGATACATGTAACTCAATGCAGCTGACAAAGAGAAGTGCTCATTACAGCCAGAAAACAAGAAAATTGGAAAATGATTATCTGCATTCTGCATTAAATACATATATAAATAAATTTGTTTAATAAAAAATCTAGAAAAAAATAGTTAAAAAAGATTTAAGAAAGGGTAGTTTAACACCCCATAATTACTTCATCTTATGAGGATTTGACTTTAGCCTTTTTAAGTATTAGGTGGTTATTTATATAATTTTCTATCTAGAATTGAGGAAGAATATTACATAGGAGTAAAAGAAAAACATACTAATGATGAATTGGAATTTCTTGACTTGACAAGGGAACCTGGTTTCTATCCATCATATTGTAAGCATACAAATTACATATATATCTACACTATACAGGGTGCTATTAGATTAGTATTTACAGACCAAATTGAGAGCTCTCTAAAACTGACAACATTTTTAGGGCCAAAAATTTGGTGTCCCAAAGTGATGAATTGCACACCCCCCCCCCTTTAATTTAACTATTATATTCTTTGTTCACATAGAAAAAATTTATCAAAAAATATAAACTCTTTCATCAACGACCTACTTGACCCAGGCCTTGAAGTGCAGGCGTTAATAAGGTTAATGAGGTTAATGTGGTTAATAAGGTTAATGTGGTTAATAAGGTTAATGAAGTTAATGAGGTTAATGAGGTTAATGTGGTTAATAAGGTCAATGAAGTTAATGAAGTTAGTGAGGTTAATGAGGTTAATGAGAATAATAAATCTTGTCTTGGATTTGTTAGCTTTTGAAAAGTTTTTATACTTTTTTGGTTTTTGTCATAGAAAACATGCTTATATACTGCTTATAAACTTATACTCTTTGCACTATTATAAAGAAAAATTGATAAAAAGTCTGATTTACTTCATAGACTCATCTGGTGAATTGGATGATTTTACACAAGATGAGGATCCTGTTCAAGACTTTAAATTTGGTATGCTCAAAGCTTACATTTTATATTGTTAATGATATGAAAATCATTATATTAAACATAAATATTCAAAGAATTGAAAGAGCGTAAAACTTCACAACCGTATCCTTGAAACATTAACATTATCAAGAATTAGGAGCAACATGTTGTCTTTCTGGCTTGAAAAGTGTCTCATTCATTATTTCTGAGGCAAGAAATGTGCAATTCCCTTTAGCAGAGAAACCACATATTTGTCTTCATTTTTAATTATCTTGTTGTCTTGAATTTTTTTGTGTCAAATTTGATCTTTTTAAGTTTTAATATAACAAGACTTTTATATTAAAATGTTTAGGCAAGGATACTGTTTTATTTCTCTCCAATGGGAAGCTTAAAGTAGGCAAGAATGCACAAGCAAGAGGAATTTGTGAAAAACCCATTGGTAATTTTATTGTTGCGCTTTCATATTCATCATTTTGTCATATTTTCTGTTGATCCTGTTTAGATGGAAAACAAGGAAACTTAAACTTGTTTAAAGATGGAGGACTTAAATACAAGATCATAGGAGATGAAGTTGAGAGCGTAGATAAAACCAATTCTATTCCTGATATATATCCAGGAATACCCTTGACAATTCAATGCACAAAGTAAGTCAACTATTTCCTTCAATGTTTTTAAACTAAAAGAGACCATTACTGAGCTTCTTCTTTTTTGCAGCTACATCAAATGTCGACATAATTACGATTTAAGAAAAAATTAAGAATCAAGCCTTTTGCCTAATAACACTTGAGGTTTTGGGATAAGCAATGCAATCATATGCCTTCAGTTCATGTAATATGTATTTATTGTTACTAAATCAATTCATGCCTTATGCTAATTTGTGAGATTCCACCAAAAAGCACTAAAAAAGGAAATCTTATTTAGCTAGAAAGTAGAAATCATTTATATCGGTTCCACAAAGGAAAACTGTGAGATTAAGCATGTGTTTCAGAGGGTCCTTTCAGAGTTGGTTTGAAATTGTATTTGATCAGATGGCAATAATTGATTCTGTTCACTTTATTCTCAACAATCAGGAGATTGAAAAATTTGTTCTAAAAACCTCTTCTACTTTAGAAGATATTTCTTTTCTTCCTTTATCCTTAGATGCAAATAAGAAAATATCAGTGTTTAAATTATTGCCTAATCCTATTGTAACAGACAGGTAATAAAACCCTTTATTTAGTTATCACACAATATGGGCTGCATTGTTTTACAATGTTATACTATCTGTCAGTCATCAACAACAAAGAGTTTTGATTACAATTTGGACAGAACTAAAGATTCTATTGCTTTTGTTGAGTATAAAAATCATTGAAATGAAATTGTTTTAAGTGTGTATATTGTGATTTCAGAATCAAGATTAGAATAGAAAGGTCAACTCCTATAGTAGAGATGAATCTAGAATTAAGGGGAACAATTGCGACCCAGCTTTTATCCCATGAATTATTTTCAGAAGGACCCCTCAGCACTGCATGTAAGAAATGGATTACTTTATTATCATTTTAGAAAGTTACCATAATATTGTTTTGAAAATTCTGATCAATTAATTGGTTAAAAAAGCAATTCCTTTTCCCTTATAAAAGCTTTAAAGTCTAAGGGGTATATTTTTTTTTGTTATATAAATTTTTTTTTTGATAATATATAAATAGATTTTTTATCAAAATTAGTTTAGAGGAAATTATTTATAGAGTAGCTAAAAAGTCCTCTCTATAATTACCTTCATACATAAATTCTTAAAAAAAATACTTTTTGTTGAAGACACTCCAATACTTGACGAGGATCAAACTGTTAAACTGAAGGGAAATATATGTCCAAGAGGTGGTATTAGATTCACAGGGTATTACTCAACTATAGGGGATGGTAATGAAGCAAGTATGTTTTCAAGTTTTAGATTTAAATAAAGTTTTGTGACCCCAAATTTAATATAAAAACAATGTTATGGCAATAAAGTTAAAAATTAAAATAGAAGATGTTGTAGTTTCAAACATTAAAGATGAAATCTAACCCTGAAAATATGAATATGAATAAAATTGAGAAACAGATGAGTTTACTGCTTTAGTTAGTACTTAGGATTCAAATTCAGATTTGGATCTGAGTTTCAGGAAAAGCTTGATGTGATTAGGGATGTTAACGTTTTCTTTTTTTGAAAAATAATCGTTTTTTAAAACTATTGTTTTTTTAAAAAGTTTGTTTTTTGAAAATGGTCGTTTTTAAAACGATGGCTTTGAAAAATGATCGTTTTTGAAAACGATTGTTTTTCAAAACGATCGTTTTTTTAAAACTACCCTTCGTTAACAATCGTTAACGAAGAGATAAATCGACCTGAAGGGTATCTGTACTTATTATTGAGTAGTTTTAAAGAAAATATCAAGAAGTTTTAGATCCCCCACAACTCTTTCACTTCTTGTAAGACGACATTCAATAAATTTGAGTGTCATTTTTTTTCAAAAACGATCGTTTTTCAAAAATTGACCGTTTTTAATACGTTTGTCGTTTTGTTAACGATAGTTAACAACAACCCTTTGTTAACGATCGTTAACAACAACCCTTCGTAAGAGATCTTTAATGACAACCCTTCATTAACGACAACTCTTTGGTAACTATCGTTAACATAATTGTCAAAAAACATTTTTTTAAAAGCGATTGTTTTTAAAAAAACGGTCACAAATCGTTTTCATAAAAACAATCGTTTTCAAAAACGATTTTTATTTGTCTTCTAAAAGTTTTAAACAAGAAGGCCGTTTTTTTAAAAATAGTTTTTTTCTGAAAACGAAATGATCGTTTTTGAAAACGATTGAAAAACGAAGCAAAACACAATCGTTTAACAGTCATTTCAAAAATGACCCTAGATGTGATCAGACCTGATCCAAGATTTTTTTGTTCATAAGACTTCATTAACCCTCACATTGAATGAAATCACTGAATTCTTATCTTAATAATTTTTCCATAAACACTTTTGTGTTAGAGATAGATGTTGACTTTTTATCTTGCAATGGATCCTCTTCACTGACGTTTAAATTGGAACAGAAAACTTTAAAGATCAACTTTGAAAATTTAAATAGTCGAAAAAATGTTACAAGTTCAATGGAATTCAGTCAGAAAGATATGTTGGATGTGTATATTACTTGCCCTGATGGATATTATGAAGTAAGATACATTCATGAAACGATAGCTTAAGCTCTATTAATCATTCAAATAAATATAAACTCGAAGGCCATATGAGGGATAGTTTCAAAATCACCAATTCTATTTTAACTGGACAAAATTGTTCACCATTTGATATATTCTTTTCTGAATTAAAAGTTTAAATCATTAAACTTGCACTTTTAAAAAAAGTGTTAACAAGCATAAGTTAAAATATGCTTGCTTTAGGTTTATGTGAATAATTCTCATCACTTGAAAACCAGTTTGGAAGCTGAAAATATAACGGATGTTCACATTTCAACCAAAAATATAATAAACTTGAATCTTGAAGAAGTTTCAACTTTATACAAGACTAATCCAACATATGACTTTAATCCAACAAAATGCATTGGTAATAAGGTTTAATAACTCCTCCTTCAGTATAATATAAGTTATAATCTTTATTTGTTGTTTTGATGTCCAATCATAAATTATGAACCCCTTTACTGATTTGTCTCACATTTTTATCAGGGAATTCAAGAGAAACACGGGTATTTTCTTGACTTTGTTTTGATATTCTTTGTTGAGTGGTTCCATATTTTAAGGGTAGATAAAATTTCAATTTACAACCAAGTGAGGGTAAACAGCAGGAGTAACCATACGTACCCTGGTCAATGCTGGATTCTTGAGATAGTTGACTATTTTATAGAAAATAAAATTTTTCAACATAAATCATAAAATTAACTCAAGAAAAATATAAAAGCAAACACACTTCCCTGATAATTTTAAATATGCTCTAATAATTAGGAAATATTTGTGTGACAAAAGCTTTACCTGGTTTGGGAAAACTCATTAAAGTCTATGTATCACGTATGGAGGTATAATATATGTTTCTACTTTTCATGTACATGTTAGGACTTGTAGTTAGTCTAGTTGAAAGTTGTAGCTATGGGGGGGGGGGGGATAAATATTTCATATAAAAGTTTAAGGTCTACATTTGATACAACTAAAATTGAATAAAGAAATATTCATTCTGATAAAAGAGTTAATTGAGTTGACATTTCCATTGACAAATATCAAGATCTATTTAAATGAATGAATTTAGCTTGTTATCTAGGTTGTGTACTGGCTTGGTGAATATTCAATTGCATGCCATAGAACTCCAATATCTAGCTCATTATGCAACATTCAACTAATAAAATGGTATAGTATTAATTAATGATACTAAGTTTTGAGGAATTGAGATAGGGGAGTGTGATACATATCCTTAGTCAAACTTTTTAAGGCCTGCTCATAAAAAAATAAGACCTCAAACTTTGATGGTTATGGGGTGCAAGGAAGGATTTCAAATAAGTTCAAAAAGTATGTAAGAAAAATGTTCAAAAATAATTATCTTCAATTTTGAAAAATATTAACATGTTACACATGTTTTTACAATTTTCAAGGGCTTTTCAAAATTCTTGCCATGTAGCTTAATTTTTTAAAAGTTAATAAGCATTTCTATTTTTTTTGAAACACCAACACCAGTTTGACTGTCCTCAACCCTACCATATGCATTAAAAAAAAATCCAAATTTGTTCACAAATATCATGTTAAAAAAGTAAAGAAGTTTCAGCATTCTAATGCAAGCTGTTTTTAAGTTTAAAAAAAAAACTACAGTGGGAGGGGGGGGGGAGGAAACACTCCCACCCAGCCGTGAAAGGGTTAAACAATTTTAGGTTGTCTTTAAAGTCTCATCCTTTATGCCCTATCCTGTATATTTGATATTCAACACTAAACACGAACAGGATACCCTTACTAGATGTAAAAAAATGCTGAAAATAACAATTTATTTGATCAGTTTTCATAAATACGATTTTATACTAATTAAATTTTAAGGAATTATTTTTTTCCTGAGATTATTTGCTAGTTGTTCCTTATCTATTAAAAACATAAAAAAACATATACTCTTGGGGTTCGGGGGGGGGCATCACCAAGCACTCTGTCTGGTGATGCCCCCCCCCCACCCCCCAACACTCTGTCTGGTGATGCAAAAGGGAAAAACAATTCAATTTTTATCAAACAAAAGTTAATCAAAAGTTTCACGACAATGGTCAAAGTTTTTGCAAAAATGAGGCCAGAATTTCATCAAAAGTACATCAAATTTCGCGAAAATTTTGAAAGAAACTGAACAAATTTCTTTGTTCATTTTTACGAATTTTGTTTAATGAAAACTTCGTTGGAAAACCTAATTATGTGTTGGATGTCATTAGTTTTCTCCTGGAGTCAGTTTACATTCTAAGTCACAGCTTAAGTTCTCATCTTTAGACACCAATTTAAGTGTGTTCTGCAAGGTTTAAAAGACAAAGCTAAGGCTAAGTCTTAATTTTAGAATTTTTAAAAAAGAAATTTATAGTGGAAATGTCTGGAAGTTACATCTAAAGAAACTAATTAATTTCAAGGATGTACTTTATTGCATGCCAATGAACGATTTTAATGTCTTACTTAAAAACAATTTATTCTAAACCAGACCTGATTAGACCATGGGAGGTTGGGATTGGGAGGGGGATGAAGGAAGGGGGTGATGTAATGTTCTACTTTATCAGCTTCGACTATTTCCAATATTTCAGGGACCAAATCCCTAAAGGAGGCTTTCAAGATTCAGGTTGCCCAAAAGATACAGAGAACCTTGGCTTGGGTGATCTGTGTTTAAAATATAATGATACAGCTTTATTATTTCTTGAAGCTCAAAGTTCTTGTTCACTAACATTTGGATTGGTTCCGCCCCCTGTTGATATTTACCAAAACACTATTCTGAGGTCAGTTAATTTCAATGAAATAATTTTTAATTATCATCACTTTTTTTAATTTGGGTAGATCAAATTGATAATAATCTTATATTTTACTATCTGTGAAACAGTTGAAGGAGAAATTGTTTAAATATGTATCATTTAACAGTTCAATTTACACATTCAAAATTATCTTTAGTGTTTATGCTGAAGAGCAAGATATTGGATCATATTGGATTGGAGTGACAAGAATCAATGGAGTATGGGTAAAGACTGATGGTAGAAAACTAGAAGACACTGAACTTAGTTTTGAAGATAATATAGATGAGGGAGATTGTATAATTGCAGACAATAAGAATGACTTCAAACCTAAAATTGTCTCTTGTACTGAAAAAAATAGGGTAACACATGCTGAAAAATTTAGCATTAAGGTCTAAGAATGACTACTTATAGAAATTATTACAGTTGAATTCTAATATAAGAGGATGTTGGAATTTTTTTTAACTGATTTTTACTGGGGTTTTAGTGCCCAACTATATGAAACTATTTGATAACATGTATCACATATTTCAGGGCTATTTATTTATTTTTACAAAAAATAATTTTAGAAAATTTTAATTAGTTACATTAACTTTAACTTTCAAAACAGACATTTTGATTATCCCTGTAAAGCTGCGAGCAGAAAAATTTGACAGCTTGGGAAAATACAAGTCAGCTTTAAATTCAAATTCAAGAATTAGGCAACATTTTATAAATTTTTCTAATGTCTTCTTATAAATGAGTTAAACTTTATGTGACATGATAACAAATATTTCAGTCTTTTTCAAAAGCATATAAAACTTTAGCAGCAATTATATCCTATTATCTAGGGCTGGGCACGTTCAGACTTTTTTTAAATCGTTCCGTTCCGTTCTAGAACGAGGGCCTTCAGCTAAATCGTTCCGTTCTCGTTCCTCTTTTTATTATCGTTCCGTTCTTGTTCCGTACCGTTCCGTTCCGTTCTGAGTAGAAGAACGGTCTTCCCGTTCCGTTCCGTTCTTGGCGTTCTTATTTGAAGAACGGTTGCGTCCCTCTTGTTCTGTTCTTAATTAAGAACGTTTCCATCCACCGTTCCATTCTTAGTAACGAACAATTACATCAAAGACAAAAGTTTTATAGAAAAGAGTTGGTTAAAAAGTAAAAAAATTACAATAGGTGATTAAATAAAAAATCTTTAACTATTTCTAGATGATTTAGAACACATTCCTGATTCAAAATGCGTTCCCAACTTAGAACAAGTTCTTGATAATAAGAACCCCTTAACGATTTTAACCGTTCTTTTCAAGCAATTTCCGTTCCGTTCTTTTACTAATCATTCCAATATTTTTAAGAATGCGTTCTAAGCGTTCGGTTTTTTTTTGGAACGATGCGATCGTTCTTGATCGTTCCGTTCGTTCTCGGGAAAGAACGATCGTTCCACCGTTAACGCGCCCAGCCCTACTATTATCTAAGATCTGTCAACCTTAAATTTTTAATGCGCTCACAGTGTGCGCCATTGCCCATTTATAAATTTAACTAAGCATTTGTGAACACCAATACCATTTACCTGTATCTAATCTAGAATAAAAGAAAACAAATTTTTTTTTTTTTAGTATTTTTGTACAGTTGGACCAAACTGTCCTTCGGGATACACCTGGGTTCCAAGCTTGGGTAGAACTTGTCTTAAAGTTGGAAATGTAGTTGGAGGAAACAATATATTTGCTGATGTACATTCAGGTAACTATAGTTATCAAAACCAACATTTTCAGGTTTTAAAATTGGGTCTGGAAAGGTATCTTAAATCTTCTTAAGCATATGGTCCGAAACACTGAAACTGGATTTCAAACAGTCCTTATCTACTTTAACTTTAGGAGAGGCCTTTTGTGCAAAAGACGGAATGAGTCTATTTGTTCCAACAACACAAGAAGAAGTGAATAGCCTGGTAGATTGGATCAAATCTTCTGCGGTGGGGACTAATATTAAAGCTATTCTAGGAAAGTATTGAATACAGTAAAGTAACTGAAATATCATAATTTACATATTTTACCAGTTCCCTTAAATTATAGGTTGGAGAAAATCTACAATTAATGGAAAACAAATGTATATTTCTCACTTTTCAAATCAAACCTTTTCATCTCTTGAGTTTGAGAGTAAATTAGGATTAACTCATCAAACAACCACCAATCAGAATTGTCTTAAAGTTGGTCAAGAACTCCAAATGACTAACTGTTTGAATAATGAAGGTAATCTGAGAGGTGTCTGTCAATACAAAGAGTGTATTACTACTCAGTCAATACCCTGTTCCTTCCCTTTTAAATATAAGGGAAGAATGTATGATTCCTGCATAACCATTGATAGTACTGAACCTTGGTGCAGTCTTAAAACAGACATTGTTAGAAATCATATTGAAAATGTGAATACCAAAGGAACCTGTTCCAGCAGCTGCAACATACAAAATTGTCCAGTTGGTTTCTTTAAACATGACACAACTTGTCTCAGGATATCAGCACAGACAGATCATGATTCATGGATTTCAACAGAGCAAGCTGAAGAACAATGTATAAAAGAAGGGGCGAGATTGTACCAGCCAAGAGATATTAAATCTTTTAAAAGCCTACTTTTAAGTGAATTTGAACATTTGCAACCAAATCAATCTCATTTCAAGTATAGGAATAAAG